GCCGCGACAAAAAATGGGTAAATTCGTAGTGAAAGAATGCGATTCAATGTCACAAAAACGTAATAAATCAAATGGAATCACTTTTATCACATAATTTTTAGTTCTTGTTTTCATATAAACGTAAAAAACCTCAAATAATTAAATAAAATTATCGAATATTACCATTTAGGTTCAATGTTGCCACTTTTCCGCATTTGTGATTATCCTACATTAATGGGAGACTATATAATTAATGGAGTAAGTTAATTTGTTACCTCTGATTTTAAATATTTTGGAAATAATAATAAAAACTACGTTTTAACTTTCATATAAAATAATTAATTATTCTTATTTTAGTTTATCCATGAATTATCTAATCAATATATTTTATTACCTATTTTATATTAATAATATTATATTAATTATAATTTCATATAAATTTTATATTTATTACATTTTATTACATATATTATATTGTTTGATTTATTAGTACAATAAAAATACTTATAAAAATATGTTTCATCATTGTGTTTACTTCTATTCATCTGATAAGCTTTGTATCCTTCTTTTCTAAGAGGACCCAATAAAGATTTTAAAATAAAATATACTTTTTTAATATAAAAACAAATAACTGCAGCTTAAAACAACTCATTTTTATTGCGTATTTTAGGTAAAATTTTATATAGTAAGCCACACCAACCCGCCATTGCATGTTTGTGTGTCTACGAGTATCTTTATCTAACCTTTGCGACGATTTGTTTTCACAACTTGTGTAAGTGAGATAGATATATGTTTATCTAAATTTGTTAGTAGTTTCAAAGCTACATCGTCGCGTTTAGATAGTTGTTACAGTTTTTTCGACGCGCGGAAATGTGGTTTACTCATGTACTGTTGTATAACTCAGTGCTGCAGATACTGCACTATAGGAAAAAATCCTGTTGTGATTATAACATTATTTGAAAGAAAAAAACAAATTTTTGATATTATAAAAAGTTGAAAAATAATCCCCCACAGGGCACCTATAATGTTTGTGATGTTATGAACAACGAATATTCACAGGTCAACAGTTGTCACTTACTACAGTTTTATATAAAAACAACATTTAATGTCTGTAAATGTCATTTTTCGGTGTATATTTTGCAGTTTTTGGTCTAAAACTCAAGTCCAAACTCACAAAACGACTTACATAAAAGCTTTCACTTAATATTAATATCAAAAATTGGTCATATTGAAAATTAATCCTAGTATTAAGAGGGATTTTTCGCCATCAAGCGCACGTCAAAGCCTCGTCCGCCAATCTGCAGAGCGCTTTTAGGTTAGGTTAGATGTTTAAAAAACCAATTTAGAAGCTGAGCTCTGCAATACTATAACTGTAAAATTAATAACAGATTTAAAGCCAACATCATAAAGAAATTCACAAGAATGTATATATATATATATATATATATATATATATATATATATATATATATATACGTAAATGGATGCCATTTAAATACAGTTAGGTCTAAATGAGATTTGAGACATGATTTTTCGATGAAATTGATTATATTTTAAAGCATTCAAAGCTCCGACATCGGTAACCGGACACATTAAATAAATATTTTTTTGGCAAAAGAACACGAAACGGTGATATTTTAGTTTAATATTACCTAGTAATGTAAATTTGTGACTTAACTCTTGGTAATATGAAAACATAACATGTATCTACATAGCTTTTAGGAAACAATTGCAAGTGGCCTTATAAGAAATTACAAGTGTCTTCAGTAAACTTTCTTAATTTTGTATTTTTCGGATGTACGTCTCAGCGTGTGATGGACTTGGATACGACATTCTCGCTTAATGGTCTCTGCTTGTGGCGGCATCGTTTAAAAGGTCGTCTACTTCCCTTTAACATTGTCGAGGACTATGGCCACTTTTGGAGGCGGTCTGCTGATCTGGCAAAGTCAGATCATGCTTGAGCAATCGCAGATATTATTCATAATTGATTATGCAGATGTCTGTTTCCTGGGCCTGCCCAAGATCTTCCAAATAAACTAGAACGCCTTCTCAATTACTGTATAAGATTTGTTTTCGGGCTTATGACCATATTTCGTAATATAGATCTAAGCTAAATTTGCTTACAATCCGACAGAGGGCCAATTTCAGAATGTTACTTGTTCATTTTTCGATATTAAATGACCCACTTTCGCATTCTTATCTTAAGAGTAAATTACACTCTTCCGTCTCTTCTTACGTCTCTTCTCATCACGATAAAATTCACCACTGCTTTCATCTGCACAGCAATGCATGTTACGGGTTTGCAACATATCATTGATAGGCAGAAGAAACAGCGTTGGCGATAGCACACGGCCTTGTGGAACACCAGCATTAATAGGCTTGTAATCGGAGCTTGCACCGTCTACAACGACATTAATGCTCCGATTTGCAAGAAAGCTGGTGATCTAATTGTATAATTTCTCAGGAAGCCCATAGGAAGGGAGTTTTGAAAGAAGCGCTTTGTGCCAAACCCGATCGAAGGCCTTCGCAATGTCCAAACTAACGGCCAACGCCTCCCTCTTGGACTCTACTGCCTTTGCCCATCTATGAGTTAGGTAGACCAGCTGATCGACCACGACAAAACCGTATTGGTGATCACTAATCAGCTGGTGATCCTCAAGGTACCTCATGAGCTGGCAGTTTTACAACGGACTCCATTGTTTTGGAGAACAAGGAAGGCCGGTAGTTGGACGGGTCTGAGCGGTCACCTTTTTTAGGGATCGGGTGGACGAAAGCCGTCTTCCATAATTTTGGGACTACGCCTAGGGAGTAGAAATACCGGAAAAGATGCGTTAAAACCGGTGCCAACTCTATAGCACACGTCCTCAGCACAATTGGGGGGGATTCCGTCAGGCCCACTCGACTTGTGGATGTCCAGGGAGAGGAGTGCTTTGCGAACTGAGCGCTGTGTGAACTGCATTTCTGGTACGGAGCACTCACACCGCGGGATGGTCAGCGGCGTACTACCCCCGTCATCGAGAATAGAGTTGGACGCAAAGAAAGAGCCTAGCAGATCGGCCTTCTCCATTACGGTATGGGCCAGTGAGTCGCCCTCCCTTTGTAGAGATGGAAGAGATGGCTGACCGAAATTCCCCTGGATAGCCTTGGCAAGAGACCAGAATGCACGAGTTCCAGAAGGAAGGTGAACTAGTTCCTGGTCAATTCTGCCTATGTGCTCTGATTTTGCCTTAGCAATGACTCTTTTGAGGGACTTGGAGGCGAAATTATACTTCTTTTTTAGAGCGCTGGTTTTTACATCCCGGGATGTAACTCCTGCTTATAACTATGATGCTATTGTACAGAAGCGACCAAACCATTGCTGAGATTTGCCTCCAATGGGCACCACATAGGAAGGAATAAAAGTTCCTTACCCTGAAATACCACATCAGCGACAGAATCCGCAACAACGTTGAGATCGTCCGGCTAGAAGCAAACCCGCCCCCAAGGGTAGGATGCAAAGAAAGACCGCATTCCATCCCAATTGGCTGACCTATAGTGTCAAACACGGCGGCAGCCTATAGAATGCAACTGCGATTTCAACGTGAGTGGCACCACACTCCGGACAAGACAATGGTCCGAGGAGCCTAAAGGGGCGTCGACGGAAATCTGATAACCGTTAGGGTGAGAGGTCAGCAGAAGGTCCAACAGGGAAGGTACCTGATCCTCCACATCCGGAATCTGCGTAGGCGAAGTAACAAGTAACAGACCATATGCCAAGGCAAAATCAAGAACAGATCTCCCCGCATGATCGGTTTAACGTGAACCAAGCAATTCGGCGTGATGTTAAAGTCGTTAAGGATCACGATCTCTGCGGAGGGGATCTGCTGCAGCAACAAATCTGCATCCATTTGAACGTGGTCGAAGAGTCTATCTGTTTCGGCATTACCGCTATGGGATCTATAGAGGCACCCGTAGACACTCGGATGGTCGTCGCTGTTTACGCGTAGCCAAAGAATAGGCAGGTTCGAACCTTCAAGACTGCCGAGGCGTCAAGAACAGATGTCCTATCTGACGTAAACGCAAACTTCATCCCGAGGCACAAAGGAGTGTTCCAGTTTGTACCCCGGGTAGGACAGATACGAGACATCAGCCGGAGACGACACCTGAGTCTCGGTTAGAAAGAGCAGAGCCGGCCTCGCCGTCTCGTCTCGAGTGTGAGTGGAGCATAAGGCTATCACTCTAGAATCTTTCTACCCCATCAGTAGTTCTTCAGGCTATCAATAACGTGAACTCCTCGTGCTTTTGTCCAGTGGTTTTCAGCTATAAATACAAAATCTTTTTCCGTTACTTGTCTAACATCAGTAACATAAGTGCTATAAATTTTATGCATGTACGTGTTAGAGCCATGCTACCGCTAAATGATGGTCGAATCACGAACGTGTCGACTCGAAAATGGTAGAATCATGCTTTTACAGCATGTAAGCATAAATAGTAGCGTAATGCTGTTATATTCCTTTTGGTGGTATAGTAAAGAACCGAAGACCCTTTTACTGGAAAAGACACATTCCATCTTAATCCTCGAAGCAGACAAGGCATCTGTATTTTGATCCTTAATTGAGCATAGAGCACAACATCGACATATCATCGGGTGATCTGTGTGCCCTTTTGTCACCCTATTTCTTTAAAAAAAATGAATTAAACGGTAATTAAGGAACAGAACTACTAGCGAATCCGTCATTTAATGGTAATTTATTTTTCTATCTAATATGCGTGCATACGTGTATACGTGCGTGCGTATTTGCGTGCGTCCACACGTCCACAATAAAATAATTGCATTTACATATTTTAACTACAATTACAACACAATTACATGTTTTTAGTGTATCTTTAGTTTTAATTAATTTATGGGTATTAAATAATAACGATTAAGCTTCAGGAAGTTAGTCGTTTATTTCATCAAAACGAGTGTCATCAGACAAAGTTTTCGTTATACTAATAAGATATTGTACAAAAAACTTTTTGTTTTTATTTTTAAAATAAATTTACAGAAGTATGCCGATGATTTTCAGGACGATGAACTCAAGGATTTTGTTGATTTTATCCTGAAAAGATACATCATTTTTAAAAAAAATTCGTGGCGAATATTATGTCAATTGGTTTTTTTGTCAATTTTAAAAGTATTCGGGAAAATTACGACAATATTGTGCAATAGAAAAAAAAGAAAGGCGTAGAAATTAATAAATACTCACTTGGTTTTCGTGAAGGGCATTAGGAAGGGTGTTGCTTAGGAAGTTGTTGCATTTTTCAGAGATGTCACGGCCAAATATGATCAGGGACAAGTTAGACTGAAAAATATGTTAACGTTAAAAACGTTTGTGTAGTAAGTTTACAAAAAAAACTCAGACAAATTTAATTAAAAGTTAAAAAAGAAAATGATATAAAACAAAACATACATCAATGCCTTTAAGAGAGAACCACAAGTCAAGGCTGCGAACAGAGATTCCAGAAATTACACCCAAGTTGATTCTGACTTCACCTCGAAGACGGAGCTCTTCAATCTCCACACTACAGAGGAATCAAATTAAAATTGTATTAAATTCAAAAATTTAAATGTAACAAAGCAAGAAAAAATTACGGTGTCGCTTAATTATGTTACATTATTTTCTTATTCATTACAATCATAAGCCTGTATCATGTTACTAAACCGTAATCCCATAAGATGTATTTTTATATATATGCTTAAATTTAGTGGGTTGAAAATGTTCACCCAGGTTTTTCTATTTTCTACTCATTTCTGAGTGGGATTTGATTTATAAAAAACGATTAGCCCTCTACGCAGCTTCAATGCGTGTCAACGATTTTGAAGTGCCCTTGAAAATAGTAATAAGAATACCTACCCGAGGTAATTACAGTTAATTTAGGAAGCGATAAATAAATATACTTTTTCATGTAACTAAAAATTCTAGGTCGGATTGGACCATTCATACAATATAGCTTTTAGAACCGGAATCCTTTGGGTAGAAAGTTTGAAATGCCAGTTTTGTACCATCAAGCTATATGAAAGGTGACACTTACTGTTTGTTTATTTATTAGAAAGTCTGTAATACTAATGATAGAAATGTGAATAATTGATCACTATTGATTAGATTACATTTGTAAACAATGCCAATATCACTCCAACATGCAAAACAAGCAAATTGCAAATATCAACCATGACACATAATTGCAAAGCATCCACTGATAACCAACGCTCAGCCGGTCCCCACAAATTTTGTCGATATTTATCATATTCAGTTAAATCACTATCACCATCAGGTGAACTTATTATCAATCCCTTGTTTGAAATATGTTAAAGCTGCAGAATTATTGTAATTAATACTATAACCTTAGAAATCTTATCTGGTAACTGTTTGTATGGACTAAGCCCTAGTTATATTTTATGTAGTTATAATTAAATTTTTAATAGCATGTATATTTTAACAGATTTACTTCCAGTCTTTTCGTATGGAACAAAGAGTGTTCTTAACCCTTAAATGTAACAACCCGTAGAAAAAAAACTAAAGCAGCGAAGTCAATTACACTTTACACACTCACACATTTTCTTTTTATTTAAAATTTATTTTATTACTACTAAACCTTTTTCAAGCTACTTGGTCGGCAAGCGGTTTAGGACAGCGTTATTTGACGTTCCTTTACCGAGGTCTATGTTGGGTAGTGATGATTATGACGATGGATAATCTTTATTTCTATTAAAATTGAATTCACACATAATATAAAGTTATATGAAAAAACGTTCTTAACATATATTAATCAATTTCAAACCAGATTTAGGATAGTACAAAAAGCCACTATTCTTCATTTCACAAAATCCATTTTAGAAAAAAGGCGAGAATCGTACATAGGATAGTAATAAAACAATTAATATTAATCACTAAAAGCGAATGAATACACGTTTCTACTAATGTAACCCCTTCTAAAATAATGTAAACCTGTCATTAATAATGAAAAATATAAAAGCTTGAGTACTCTGTTACTATTTAATATAATATTTAAGCTTTTGACACTATATTTTTATGTATATTTCTAATTTCAATATCTATTATTTATGTACCATATTGTTATGCACTACCTTATTGTGGATTTCTTAATATCCCTCATATGAAGCACCTTATTCCATTGTAACCAAAGTGGTAGAAAGTATTCGAAACAAAGGGATTCCGAAATTAAACGCGATCAAATTCGTAAAATAAGTTTCAATCAATATGTAGTGATTAGGTCAATATGAGAAACAAATAAAAAAACAGGCAAACCTTGAGATTTTTTTTAATTTTAATGTTGTTTTGTTTCTGTTAAAGTTTATTATTTAAATTCGTAAACCATTATCACAAGACTATTCATAACATTTTGAAGATTATTAAAAGGACATTCAATTAAATGCTATTAAGGAAAGTGCATATGGAAGGAATTCATTATTTTGGGCATATCAAATCGAAGATCTTAATCAACATCGATAGCGATATGAGCGATAAAACGGTGTCCACATTTAACGAAATGGTATATCAGATAATTATGTTAAAGCTTATGGTTAATTTGGAGATTTAATTAATAAAATCAAGTTTTGCTTTTTGAAAGAGAAGAAAGTAAAACGATTTGTGAAATAAGAATAGAAGGGGATTTGATCGAGCAAGTAGATGAGTTTGTATATTTGGGCTGCGTATTTAGCAGGGATGGGAGATATGATAAGGATATACAACGACGAGTGAATGCGGGAAATAGAGTAAATGGGGCCTTCCACTCTATTGTGAAGAGTCAAAATGTGTCGAAAAAGGCACGTATGGCAATTCACAATGCTGTGTTGGTCCCTACTTTAACGTATGGTTGTGAAAGTTGGGTGTGGCAGAAGAAGCACGAGAGTAGAATAAACGCAGTAGAAATGCGGTCGTTAAGGAGTATGTTAGGGCTGAATCTGAATGACAGGGTAAGAAATTGTGTAATAAGAGAAGAGTGTGGTTTGCAAGATGATGTTGTGACCAGGATTAAGAAAGGAATGCTTCGGTGGTTTGGTCATGTGGAAATAATGAATGAGGAAAGAGTGACAAAGAAAATTTATGTTGCAGAAGTGAATGGCAGAGTCGGAAAGGGACGTCCTAGGCGAAAATGTATCGACCAAATTGGCGATTTATTGAAAACGGGCCAAATTAGGAGTACCTTTAACCGAAGAGCATGTATGCGTAGGTGTATGGATGTGAAGGAGGCGAGAGAGGTGTGTCAGGATCGTGCCAAATGGAAATCTGTAGTCTCTGCCTACCCCTCTGGGTGACAGGCGTGAGTGTTTATGGAAAATCAAGTTTATCTATGATAATAAATCAAATTAACGAGCGTGTAAGAATGACTTAATTCGTTTCACAAATATTTAAATGTTGGATATTGAACCATCGGATTCGGGCTCATGAGACTTGTTTTAATGTTGCATCCCTTTGCATTTTCTTTCGCATCTACCACGGGGAGTGCTCTGAGGAATTGTTCGGAATAATCCCAGTCGCCAAATTTCATGAACGCTCATCGTAGCAAAACTACCGATACCTATCATACCATCTGAATGCTTGGCAGTCCACCACTGTACGGTTCACTAGGAGTTTTCTTCCGCGTTCGAACTCGCTGTGGAATAGTTTACCACCGGCGAATTTTCCGAACCGATACGACTTAGGGACCTTTAAGAAAAGAGTTCACTCCTTTCTGAAAGGCTGGCAATGCACCTGTAATTCCTCTAGTGTTTCACTTGTTGTTTAGCGACGGTAGTCACTTACCATCAAATGAGCCAATATGCTCGTTTGTCAACTCTCCTTAAAAAAAAGTTAGAAGTTCGAGATCTTTTTTTTTCACTATACACTATTCATTATAGTCCCATAACAAGTTCACTAGAGAACATATACCTCCCTCACAAATTACAAAGTACGGTCATTTTTTATTTTTTATTTTTCGTAAAATGTTATAAGGAGCGCATGTGGACATGAACAACAATTATGAGGTCTTAACCAAAGTTACCAGAAAATATTACTACAAGACATACCTTCCACTACCATGACTCTTAATTTCACGTCCTAATAAAATGACTTCCAATCCGGAATCACCTAAAGAAGACAGACATATTGAATTCAAAATTGTCAGATATTGAATACAAACTATTTTTAGACAAAATATTTTAAAAGTATCCTAATTTGTATCGTAATTTAAATGGTAATATGGCCATTTTAGACTTTAAGCATATTTGTAAAAATACAACGAAGTGGGATGTCAGAGGGACAAAACAACTTATAATTTAAATGAAAACTCCAACTGTAGACAATGTAACCTGCTAATGAACTATTTAGATCTAATAGAAATTAACGATAGCATTCGACAAAAGTCAATCTATCCTATTGCCGTTTAAATTTTCTTGAATTGTTTAGAACTCTTTTAAAATTAAAAGACTTCATCTGTCATCCAGTATCCGCTTAATAATTCCAAACTCAGCTCCCGCAAACTGGCAGTGAAAATTTGCATTACAAGTGCGCGAGTTCTACGCTCGATTATTTAACCACCGGTGTAAGGTGTGCTGTCGATGAGTACTAACACATCTATCAAGTTATTCATATCATAGCAAATTCTATAAAAGGCCGTGTTTTAATAAATTAAATGGCTAATAAAATGACAAGGATATTGAGAGTCCATGAGATCTTTCCAAAGATTTGCTTAAACGACATAGACCATCATTCAATGAAAAGTAATATTTATGTTTTATATGACCATTACATATACCTGACAGTATTTAATAATTAGTTACTTTTACTAGAATTAATAATTTATTTATTTAATACTTACCAACACTGAGAGAAAGCTTAGGGAGGGAAACATCAAAAGTCAGCCGGCTAGCGAGAATGGAAAAGTCCATGTTGTGGATTGCAACGTTACTGAGACCTTTGAAAGCGAAGCCCTGAACATAGGCAACAGCGCTAAAAACTCTGAAAAAGACGAAATTGATTAGCTATATTATAAATATAAACTGCTAAAATAGACAGTATGCGAAAAACAAAACTAGTAATATAAGGTCGTAATTTAACAGCAACTTTTGTTAATACAGAGAAATAAGTTCCTAACAAAAACACAAAGTTGGCTCCTAGAATGTCTATTTGACGGGCGTGAAGTGTCATTATATGTAATTACATTTTTTATGGAATAAGTTTGAAAATGAGCACACAGTCCACCTGGTGGTAAAGGAATGCTGTGGCCCATAACATTTACATCCATCCTTGATAAAGAATCAAAATGCAGATTCGTTCTTCAAAATACAGATGCATTGTCATCCCTGAGTAATAATATGGAATGCCTAGTTTCCAGTAAAAAGGGTCTCCGGACACTCACAGTGCAAAACACGTAAAAAGTATAAGTCATTACTTACTCTGGATTAAAGAGAGCAAATTGGCGTTGAGCATTTTCAATTTCAAAAGGATCTAGACCAGCTCTTACGATTAACTGACTGACACCATTAATAATATTTATGATCACATCGGCGATGAGTCTCTCTTGCCTCAGTTCTGTAATAAATATTTTTGATATATTTTTGTGACTATGTTAGCATATCAAAATATTTAAATAAAACTATGTTTTTGAAACGAAGTGTCTATTCTTTCGGCAATCTGATAAATAAGCGGTGACACCTTTTCTGGCGGAGTTCGTTTGCGTAGGCACCACCGTTTTTCTCCTAACATTCAGACTTGGCACTGGACTACCAACTTATTGAGTATATAGTTTAGATTTATGTAAAGTTTTTTTTTTGTATTCAAATTAAAGCTAATAATACATACATACATACATAAACACTCACGCCTGTCACCCAGAGGGGTAGGCAGAGACTACAGACTTCCATTTGGCACGATCCTGACACACCTCTCTCGCCTCCTTCACATCCATACACCTACGCATACATGCTCGTCGGTTAAGAGTACTCCTAATTTGGCCCGTTTTCAATAAATCGCCAATTTGGTCGATAAATTTTCGCCTAGGACGTCTCTTTCCGACTCTGCCATTCACTTCTGCAACATAAATTATATTTGTCACTCTTTCCTCATTCATTCTTTCCACATAACGAAACCACCGAAGCATTCCTTTCTTAATCCTGGTCACAACATCATCTTGCAAATCACACTCTTCTCTTATTACACAATTTCTTACCCTGTCGTTCAGATTCAGCCCTAACATACTCCTTAAGGACCGCATTTCTACTGCGTTGATTCTACTCTCGTGCTTCTTCTGCCACACCCAACTTTCACTACCAATACGTTAAAGTAGGGACCAACACAGCATTTTGAATTGCCATACGTGCCTTTTTTGACACATTTTGACTCTTCACAATAGAGTGCAGGGCCCCATTTACTCTATTTCCCGCTAATAATATTATATCATTGTAATATTTTATACTATACTTCCACACATACAGCTAGACGAAGTAAGAATGTCTATTTCTCCATATTATTCCGTGTAAAAAACTGAAACTTGATAACAACTGAAAATAGTAAAAAACTACGACTACCACACCACCAGCCAAGCGTGGCAACTGTGACAAAATCCCTCCTTCTTATCCTCGATTTTTTTTACGAACACAAACACTAAGATTACTAAATAGTAAGTTGAAAGTTTGTTACACAAGTAGGTAATTATAAATTGGAAATAATTTAAACAAGAATTATTTACCGTCTTCACTAAGGGTAGGTAATGTGTTGGCGCTGGCCAACAGCATCAGTACGGCAACAGCAATGCTTTTCATCTTGACGATGCCTTAAAAATAGCGAAGATTATATTTAATTCAATGATCTCAAAACTAAAATATGAACTTGAAATATAGAGTTATTAATTTCAAGAAATCGCAAAAACATTTAAATTTAATTGAGTGCTCTTACCTTTTTTTGCTCAACAACTAGCACATGTAATCCAACGGCAACTATTTATACATTGAAGAGAATCTGATATTATCTCAAGCGCAAATTATCAATAATTTTGTGATTTTTCTATCTTTTTAATCCTAATCAATCGTTATTCTGGCATGTTAAGCGTTGGAACTGAAAGTTGTGATGACTTCATTATTATCATTTTTGCATAAACAGTTTTGTTGACTGTAAGAGTGAGTTGGCAATAATTATTAAATCAGTTCTTTTTTACACTGTTAATAAGGGTGATATTGATAAAGCGTAATTGAATAAAAATTGCATTATGAAGCGGCTTATGGGAATCCATCGCCCTATTACGTCTGGCTGGTTTCTTAAAAGTCAACTGAGAGATTTATCAGATAATTTTTATGATTTTCAATAGAATGTGGTTGTATAGCCATTTCTTTGGACCTTCATGAGCTAAGTGATAATAAATATTGGGCAAACAAACAGTTGCCGTTGTAACTGAATAACTTATAAGGAAGTCGAAGATGAAAATGCAAGCTGCAATAATCATTAAGATATTATTTTATTTTAATAGAATGAGGGTAACAAATGAGCACACAGTCCACCTGATGACAAGTGGATGCTATAGCCCATAGGCATCTACATCTGTACTCAATTAAATATCAACACGAAGATACGTTTTTATCCGCAAGGACTAAGGTGGAATGTCTCGTTTCCATTGAAAAGTGTTACAGGTTCTCTACACTCACCATGTGTTCTGTTAGAGCGTGGCCCTTCCCTGTCGAGCCGACACATTCATGCTACGTTTATAATAAAGCTGCAGCATGGCTCTACCGAGTGTAAAGAACATTCAGCATGGCTCTATCACGAATTAAATATCTTTAAATTAAATATGTGAACTAAAAAAGTTGTTGATATTAATATCAATATACACTTAAACTTAGTGGTGATTAGAATTGTGAAAATAACACACTAAAAAACAGCTTACTACAGGAATTGTTTGAGAATAATAAAGGATGGTACCATATATTTTTTACTGACGGTTCAAAAGAGCAGAAGATCAGGAGTTGCATTCTACGATCCACATTTTTAATGCGTCTATGTCGTTAAATAAATATAATTATATTCATTTTGTTTGTTTAATAATAAGTCATGCTCTTTCACATGTTTATTATATACAATCTCAAAATGCATTTACTTGTAATTATGCTCTTTTATATCTACAAAATAGCATCTCGGGAAACAAGCCTTATGACTAATAAAGATAATTCAGAATCAATAATAAGATTTTACTGTTTACATTCAATAACTTCTACCTATTATAGGATTAAGGAGCAATCATAAGAAATAATGTCATAAAAAATCAAAGAGTACTTTGATGAAAGATCAAATTCTATAATCAAGTAGTACAAAAGCATTAAATGTGAATCTCCTCAAATTCCTTGATTCGTAAATACTCGGCTAGGTAGGCAACTAATTTTGATTGAACATATCATATGTAGGTGTATTCAACTCTGTAGAGACGGATCCTGCATCAGATGACGTATACGTCATTGAAGTAATATGTACTTACGTACTAGAACAGCTATTTCAAACAAAAAATGTGCGCTACTCTGTGTTAACGCGGTAGATTTTTTTTATCATAGAATAAACATAGGTAGAATGATCAGTAGGTAATAATAGATTGCACTGTTAAATAGGTAAATTATATAGAGAACAATTTTTTAAATTTTGTCATTTATTTTGTATATTACATTTGCTTATTTAATATAATATTACATAATATTATATCACAACTACATTTAATGATATTTTTATGGATTGTAAATGTATGTTTGACAAAAGATGTTAATATAACATTTAAATTACAAATATATTTATTTGAATTAGAATAAGAGTCGTTTATAAATATAATGGGCACGCGAGAGTTAAAATTGACGAATTTATTCCACTTTGACTTTGATGTGGAAACCTAAAAATAAAATATAAGAATAATTAGCAGATTTATACGACGAATATATTATATATAATATATATATTATATAGAATAGAATATATTATTAGACGTTTCTACAAAAAAATGTGTCTAATAATATATTCGTCCTATACTTAAGTACCCACAGAAATGTCGCATCTGAACAAAATAATTTCATAATCTATATTACGTGACACGAGATGGCGTCTTAGGAATAATTTGTTTTATTACTAATGTATAATACTTTTTTATTGATTAAGTATCTTATTAACCGATGAAAAGTAATTCCTTGGTTTTTACCAACATTTCTTGAATCATTTGTGCAATATCTAAGTACGCACGACGACATATTTTTATCACGAGATTTTTTTTTAAAATCAACACAACACGTGTCAACTCTAAAAGCGCCTAGCGAGTGACTGATTAAAGTGCGGTGTATGCACCGCAGTTAAGTGGAACATAGTAGCTGAATGCAGTGTCGCCTCTAGTACGTAGTACATAATAGCTCAATGGTATACGTAGTATTAAATTTTACTTGTATATTTTTATCTGTATTGTTATAATTAAGGTTAGGGTATGATGAAACCTTCTCGTTTTAAATAATATTGTTAAGGAATTTATAAATTCTGCAATATGTTCAGGCAAATACCATAAAACTAATTTCATTACTGAGTAGACGTTATTTTATATGCCATCAAAAACATAACTTGTAAAATAGACCAATGCCCTGTTTATCAAAACTTACAAGCCTTGTATTACAAGAAATTTTCCTGTAAAAAAATTAGTTATTACAAATATGTGTTTATCAAAACTACACGTGTAAATTACAAGTTACAAGGGTCATTATTTATTTCACAAGTATATTTTTACACTTGTATTCGTGATTTTGTTCATCAAAAATCCCTTGTAAGTTACAATTTGTAGAAAATCATAGCAAATCCAAAGAGTGCCCGGTAACTCTCCATTCCCTCTTACAAGTGTCACAAGTAGTATTTAATTTTTTTTAATTTAGATTATCCTTTTTAAAATTTCGTCAAGTGACTTAAGCGACGATGAAAATATTAGAATAATGGAACAAAGAACATGAAGAACAAGAATTGACTACGGTCATCTGGAGACGACCTATGAATTTAATGAAAGTTTTCGACTTAAAGCAGAAATATTGAAATAATTAATTAACATTATTTGGGTAGCCATTTAGAAATAAATACAAACAGAAACCACGCCCTGTCAACCAAATTAATATTACAAATAGCTCTACGTTGGTTGGGAACCGGAGCTCAATACCATGCTGTTTCTGACATGCAAGGTGTAACAAAAAGCAGTGTATGCAATGCAATCCACAGTGTTACACAGCCATCAGTAGCGTAATGTTTGAAAATTACGTTAAATGACCGAATAATATGCCGGAGGTAGTACAGAAGTTTCATATGTTGAAAGGAATTCCATTAATTTGTGGCTGTCTAGATGGTACCTTCATAAAAATTGACGCCCTACATCAACATGAAGAAGTATTCGTAGATCGACACGTAAATCATTCCATTAACTGTTTGGTTGTGTGCGGTCCTGACAAAAAGTTTTACTATTCCTATGCTAATTGGCTCGGAAGCACCCATGACAGTAGAGTTTTTAGAAACAGTCAGTTATATGAGCAATTTGAAAATGGCTGGAGACCTATTACACAGGGGTTCTCCTTGGCGACTCTGCGTACCCCCCTGAGAGAATGGCTCATTACTCCTGTACTAATAGATGGCAACGATGAACCATATATGAGATTTCTTAATGCTCATAAATCGACTCGGCGTGTTATCGAAAATGCTATTGGAATTCTGAAAGAAAAGTTTCCTTGCTTAATTTATTTAAGTGTTTAACCCAGAATTGCTTGCAATATTTTTAATTGCTGTGTGACCTTGCGTAACTTTATTAAGGAAACCGTAAACGAAGACGAAGAGGTCTCGAATAACGAAAACTACTTTGATTCTGATAATGTATTTGAAGACGTCCAAGATAATAGCGATAATAGCGAACGGAGCAGTCTCGAAAGAATAATCAGTTATTTTAGAAATTAGCAAAATTTAATATATATTAAATTAAATGTCTAAGTTAGCTATATTAACAAAAAGTCGTGACAACAAATGACTAAATTGTATTACTTAGGGAATCGTAAAAATATTACACTATATCACCACCGTTTGATTACCATCTTCATTTAAAATTATATTGTCGTAATCTGACGTATCCATTATACCCGTATCATTGCCTTTATCTGCGCGGAGAATCGTAAGCTCTGGTCTGTTGCGTAAGTTTTTCAACGCGTTAAATTCATTTTTGGGAAGATTTAATTTCGGCGCTGAACTTCGACGTAACATAGACGAAATTTCTTGACGTATGGCCTCTAAATCTTCATCACCAATGTTATTTTTATACAGACAGTCCTCAACACTATAGATAATGTCCTCATACGGTATTTTTCACGGTGTTATTGCGAAATTCATACCTTTTTCTAAAACTTTTATTGTGGCGTCGTCCAGTGTTTGTTTTGATAAGTTGTAGACAGCGCGTTGTTTATAATTCGTGTATGTGGTCAACGATTTCGTATGTTGGACATTTGATTTAGTTGTTAATTTATGGTATTTATCAATATGTTTATTTTTGCATTCATTGTATTTAGTTGTTTCGCGTTTATCTAAAGTTTCCATGCAATTTTTATAATCATATGCCGATAAAACTGTCTTTAATTCACTGGACGAATTGTCTATGGTTTTGTTTATGAAACATAGATCGGTACGTTTTTGCTGAATCACCGTTATTAACAACTTTTTACTAGCCTGATTTAAGATCTTAGCGCTTCCTCGAATGTCTTTTTTAGTGGAAGTTGATGGTCTTTGTTACAGAGAA